CCTCTCCAGGTGCCCCAAATTTATTGTCCAATCTGCACTGTCTCAAGGAAGGCAGCTGCCAGCCTGGCCCTGCTCCTCTGCCTGTGCTGGGCCTGCAGCAGCCTGGGGACCACAGAGGCTGGCCCAGGGACTGGGTGATGCAGGCATGGGCTGCTTTCTCCTTCCCTTCTCCTTCCCTTCCCGTTCCCCTTCTCCAGTTGTTTTTGTCTGGTAGCAATGCCTGGCTCTTTATTTCACAAGCAGAGGCCAACAGAAGGCTGCTCTGTAAACTGTTTATATCCTGAAATATGGCCTGCTGAAGCCAGACACCAGTTAAGCAGCCTCAGATGTGGTTTAAAGTGGAGTGGAAGAATTCATTCATAATTCTGCCCTGGCAAGAACACGATCATAGTTGAGCCTTTGCACGAAAAACCTCATGAGCTGCAGGTGGTGATGGAACCCAACAATGTCTATTTATGTCAAAATGCCTTTTTATAAACTCTGCTGCCCCACTTTATCCAGAGACCTGATCCCTGAGAGCTACTAACAGACTAATGGTGCCTGTTTCAGGCCATGGAGTGACTTTGCACCTCACTTGGCATTACCATGATGGAGAACCACAGCCTGCTCCCATCACCTGCACCTGCAGCCTGCCAGCCCCCCATGCTCATCCCCTTTGTCAGCCTGGATGCTGTGACACACATACCAGCCTGAACTGAGTCTCCCAGATAATGGGGATAAACCCCAAAACTTTGCTGAGCACTGTTCAACCTAGCGATGACATTTCTCCTCTCACGAGCGCTGGGGTACACACAGTGCAGAGAGAGGACCAGACTAAAACCCCACATGGGGAGTATGCCTATGGCAACATTTCCCTTCCAACCACAGCTGCAGGGAAGAAACATCCACCCCGTGACAGAGCAGAGCACAGACACCACACACCACACCCGAACCCTGTTCCTGCAGTGCCTCCAGCATGGGATACCCATGAGGTGAACTGGGGCATGACAATGGAGGATCTGGGCTGTTCATGGCCAGGAATTAAGTCAGAAATTCCAGGTGTTGTGATCTGTTGTTAAAAGGGCTGTCACAGCCAGAAGCCTGTGCCTCAAGCCCCCTCAAACCCAGCACCACCTTGTTCATCTGGCAAACACAAGTTCCCCAGGACAGAGAAAATGGCTCACCTGGGGATGGTTCCTTCACAGCACAACAGGAGTGCAGCTCAACGGCTCAGAGCTTCTTGCTGGATGCACAGTTGCAGTGACAAATGGCACATGCCAAAGCCCAAACCAGCTCCCGGGGCAGAGCTTCCATCACTCCAGGCAGGAGAGCAGCACACCTCCTGAGACAGCCACCGTGCAGCACCCCAGACATACACCAGCAAGACAGGTGGGTTCACAAGGGTGCTTGAAACCAGTCAAGCACTTTATTTTTATTTCTTAAAAAAACAAACAAACAAGAAAACCACCAAGAAACCCCCCACCAAATTAAAAAAAAACAACAAAACAACAAACCAGAAACGAAAAACACAACACAAAAATCAGTCCCCTACTGTTGAAAGTCTAGATACGGCATTTACAAGCTACATCTACCTTCTGCTGACCCCCCACCCGCCCACAGTAATGTAGATTTATACACACGTACATAATATAGGGAGACATGGACAGACAAATGGACTTGGAGAGCCTGTGAGAAGGAGCAGGGTGCAGCAGGGGCCTCCAGCTTGCTATGGATGTGTGGAGCCACAGGACCTCCCCAACACCCGGCTCGCCCACCCCAAGCTGTGGCAGTGCCCCCCTTGCCACAAGCCCTGGCCTTGGGGCTGTGCTGGTGGTGGGCAAGGAGGGAGGGTGGTCCTTGGCTTATGGGGTGATGCACCTTGTGGACAAGCTCAGGGTGCTGAGGCTCCCACCCACCCTCCTCCTCCTCACGAGGTAGTCAGGGAGCTTGGCCACATTTGACAGGCAATGAACAGACAGGAGACAGAGCCTGGCAGAGGGCACGTGTGGCTGCCAAACCTAGGGAGGGGAGCACATGTCGGACAGGGGAGGGCAAAGCTCTGCTAGCCCAGTGGCTCTCAGCTCTTCTTGACAGGAGCCCATGTCCAGCCTGTGGTCCCATCTCAGACAGAAAAGCAGCAGGAAGGGTTAAGGCTGCAGGTGTCAGCACCCTACAGAGGGTGACCCCCCCCACACCTTGGGCACTCACCCTTCCTTCTTGGAAGCTTTTTGGGAACAAGGGAGCGATCCTGTCACACGCTTAAGAAGCCAAATACAGTACTTGTGTCAGCAAAATGAAGCAGTACCAGTTCTGTGGTTCAGTCTGGGAGGAAATCAGAAATAGCCCTCATTTAGTACAGAGGCAACAGAAATAACATTGTCCCCTCTGAGGAAAGCTGAGGGCAGTGAGGTCTCTGGGACAGAGAAAAGAGAGATACTTCTGAGATTAAAAGGCCATTCAGCAAAGAGAAAGCAAGGACACAGTGCCATGGGGAAAGGGCACACAGCCTTTCCACCCTCTGTGGCAAAATGCCAGAGCAGACAGGGGACACAGGTCCAGCCTTCTCCCCAGATACAGTGGGGGCTGGATCTGGCCACTGAGCATCTCTGGCTTAACTCATCCTGTCCCCATTCCTTTCCAAAGTGAAAGGGATTTACTGGAGCAAAAGATGCACAGAGACAAGGCAGCATTGTTCCCAACCCACCCTGCAGCTCTCCCAGGAGCACATCAACACCTCACAACGTGCCATGCAAGGGATTTTTTAATTGGCTTGGGTTGCAGATGTATTGCTTATTGCCAGCTCAGGTGAGTCAGCCTGAGCAGAGGCTGATGTGGCACCAGAGAAACCTGTAGGTGGGAGGGAGAGGAATCAGCTGGAGACTGGGGTGCATGTATTCCCATGGCTAAACATTCCTAGGGCTTCTGGATATGAGGCTAGACTGGGGTGGTCAGGACTTCTCTATCAGACCAAATGAGGACTGGGACAAACTGCCCCATGACCCTCCCAGCACAAACTTCACCTGAGGCATCACCATTTTCATTCTGTATGCAGAGACACAGTGCCACATTTCCAGGGTAGAAAATGTGGGACAGAAAAGGAAGTGAGCACCTGGGGGTGGGGAGGGGCAGAGAACACTCCTTCAATTCTGCCAGCTTCAAATTAGAGGGAAAATTATATATATATATATATATAATAGCAGCAAAACAATGCAGCTGCAGCACTCACATTTAAAATTAGTTGAGGCTAGACTGGGGTGGTCAGGACTTCTCTATCAGACCAAATGAGGACTGGGACAAACTGCCCCATGACCCTCCCAGCACAAACTTCACCTGAGGCATCACCATTTTCATTCTGTATGCAGAGACACAGTGCCACATTTCCAGGGTAGAAAATGTGGGACAGAAAAGGAAGTGAGCACCTGGGGGTGGGGAGGGGCAGAGAACACTCCTTCAATTCTGCCAGCTTCAAATTAGAATTATATATATATATATATATATATATAATAGCAGAAAAACAATGCAGCTGCAGCACTCACATTTAAAATTAGTCTAGAAAGGGCAAAGGGGCTTGGTAAACAAGAAACCTGTGGAAGCACCAGGTTTAAAGTTCTTCCAGAGAGAGAAACTGTGGCCCTGAATCTGCGAGTAGCCAAGTACAGAAGGGAAGCAAGCAACACAGGGGAATACCAGCTCATCCACGCTCATCTTCCTGCTGGGATAAGCAACACTGTGGGCAAGATTAGGCTTGGCAGGCAGGAAAGCCCCGAACCCCAGGCTCTGCTTGACCTGAAGCCCCCCAAACTGCCCACCACGCAGGATAAAATCAAAGTACCTGGAAGACAGGCAGATGAGGTGACAAACAAGGCAGGGAGCCCCTGAGCACCAGACACACCTTGCAACTGGTTGTGATGAGGAGCTGAACTCCCACATTCTGGATTGCACTTGATAATATCAGCACCTACTGAAGGACCCACCTCCTGGCTGCTGCCCACCAGCCCAGGGAAGCTCTGTGGGTCACGGGAACAGGTCGTCCCCTATTAGTCCAACAGGCAGGGCAGTCTGTATGGAAAAGAAAACAAAACATCTCTTTTCCAGGGCTTCTGGGGTCATTTTGGTCCTCTGTGCCTTGCATAGTATTCTTCAGCTACTGAAGCAAAACACCTCTTGTTGTTTGGTTGCAGTACTGCAAGGGAGAAGCCTGCACAGCATCCTGGATCAGCACAGCGAGGACCCGTGTTCTGTACATGTCTGCATCTGGGTATTTTTTTTTCTTTTTTTCTTTTTTTTTTTTTTTCCACCAGGAGGATGTTGAAGTTAACACTTGTCATTGTAGAGCAGGGAAGGACCAAGGGAGGCCCGTGTGGCATGCACAGAGTGGGAGAAAGGCACAGCCTTCAGCTGGAGCCCAACACCTATGCCTGCATGTGCCTGCAGAGCAACAGGGACTCCATTATCAGCAATCATTCCTCTTTTTTGCTTCATTCCCTATGGCTCTGCTACACACCTAGACTATGAAATGTCACCTGCAACATTTGACCATGACCCTGAGCCTCAGGGAAAGGCAAATCATTTTGTGTTGCCAGATCTCCTTCGCTGGTACCATTCCATACATCTCTCCCTGGCTACTGCCAGAGGAATTTCTTTTCAATACCTAGTACAAGTGGCAAAAATGCCTATCAAGGGCTACCTCTCCAGCACAAAGAACCATGGTAGTCATTGTATGCAACAAAGCTTGGCCAGAGCAACTCTGGCTGCATGGCCAGGCTCCTGGCATGGCCAGGGAGTGCAGGCCCAGGGGGAACACAGGGAAGAGGATGGTGGGGGGGGGAGCACACAGGTGGGGAGAAGAAGCTGAGCTGCTTCCTTCACACTGCTGCCAGTGGGCACCAGCTGGGACGTGTGAGATCTCAATGACTATCTTTTTTTAAAAGCCAGCCTCATGGAAAACTATAAATTAATTTGCTAATTAAATACTCAGGTGAGAGACCAGGGAACCTTCAGCGGTGCAAGCAGAGGATCAGCTATGGCTTCTTCCGTAGGTAATTGGAAGGGATCCAGCCCTCCCAGCATGGCCCCCCAGTCAGAGCTTTGCAAAACCACCAGCCACTGCTGTTCTTCTCACGAACTTCGAACACAGTTCCTTCTTTAAAGCTGTTGGTCTCCTCATCACCTTCAAAATCTGCCACTGCCACATAGAGAGCTTCCTTGGAGATGTCTGGGCTGGAGATGGGGGCTGAGGTCCTCTCCTTGGCTTCCCCTCTCTCCACTGGCTTGGATATGACCTTTGGGCTGACGCTGCTTTTCACTTTGGCTTCGTCTTGGATGGAGGCAGAGAGGAAGGGCTTGGCTTTCGGAGGAACCAGCATGGGCCTCCCCGGCACTGGGGACGACCTGGTTTCAGGTGCTTCCCGTGCCAGGGCACTGATCTCTGTGGTGGGGCCAGAGGCAGGACCCCCTGTTTTCTTTGGGGGGGGTGGTCTGCGGGGTGGCACAACGGGGCGCTGTGGCGGGGGCTCCTTGGCACCTGGGGTGTTTGCTGGGCCCAGGGGAGATTTGGGCACCTCCTCTTTCGTGGTGTGGCTGTCCAGTTTGGGCAGGGGTTTGCTCTCCATGCTTGGTCGTTCCTGAAACCTTCCAGAAGCCTCTGAAGATACGATGGCATTATTGAAGGAGCTTTCGTTGGCAGCCACGTCCTGCTCGGAAGGTTTCTCTGGGCACTTGGCAGGTCTAAGCTTGCTCCTCAGGCTGCAAATGTCCAGTTTATCATCAGCTGGAGGTGGGTCAGTCCGGGTGGCTGCAGCGGGTTTTGGCTTGATCTGAGGTCTTGACTTCAAGAATGGATTCTGGGTGATGGGCTCAGGCTTGTCCTCCACGGGCTCAGCTTTTGGCTTGGTTGGCTTGACGATGGGCCGGAGGTTTGGCTTCTTCACTTCCTTGGCTGACACCTTATGTCCACATTCCAGTCCCATTTCATTTTTCAGCTGGAAGAGTTTCCCCTTCTCCGGTTTCACCTCAAGCTTCTTGCTGTCCCTTGGGGCTGCCGACTGTTTGGGTGGGATCATGGGTAAAATCATGCCTGGGGGCTTGGGGGGAGGCCTCTGCCTCTCCAGTAACTCGCCTTCCGATTTGATGATGGACTCCTTCCTGGGCGGCAGGCTGGGCTTCTCCTCCGTGTCACGATCCGAGATCTCCTCGTAGCCACCAGCAAAGGCTGGGTCCCCACTCTCGGGAGCCTCCTTCCCCTTCCAGTCCTTGGCCCACTTCCCTCCACAGTCTGTGCTGTTAGGAGGAGCCTCTGGCAGAGGACGGCAGGGCCCTGTCGCTTCCTCGCCGGCGCTGCTGCCGCCCATGGCATCCCCGGGCCGGGGCTGGCCCAGCTCGTTGGGAAGCGGAGCCAGGAAGTTGGGCCTGGAGGCACTGCTGGTTTTCTTGTACTTATCGATGAACGTCGCAGGGGCCCAGCCTTCCTTCTCCTCGATCTGAATGTACCACCAGCCGCTCAGGTTCTTCTCAATCCTGTCCTGGTAACTAAAAACCATGTAATCGCAGCACTGGCATCCTAACGGGAGGGGAAGCTGCTCATGGCCTCTGCCAGGGAACAAGACAGGCGCGCCAAGCCGAGCTGTCCCATCCCTGCTGGCGGCGGCCGCTGCGTGGCGCTGTTGAGCGACCAGCGGGCAGCCAGAACGGGTCACCCCGCTGGGCCCTGCGAGCTGCGGCCTGGGGCAGCCGCCGAGGGAAAATCCCCTCCGGGAAGCACGGCCTGCGTTTAGAAAAGCAAAATCCCAGCTTCCTGCAGAAGTGGGTGTGCTAAGAAAGTAGTTGTGGAAGGGCTTTTAACTTTACACCTGGCCTAAATAAGAAAAAAACCCACCATCTCCCCCATTTGTGATGAGGTTTTAATTTCCACTAGCTCAGACAACACAGCACCCACACGCTTGTGGGGCAGGAAGCCACCAAAAGCACTAGGGACTCCAAAGTCTGATGATACAGGTTTCTCTCCCACTCCAGGAGAGCTCTGGGATGTTAACAGTCCACAAATGCAATCACATGCACTACCATGCTCACTTGCCACCCAGAACATCAGATCTTCCCTGCCTGGAAAGGAAGCTCCTGCTTGAAACAAGCCCCAGGGCAGTGGGAGCCAGGAGCACAGACATGGGTTTGTGAGAAGGAGAGATGACAGTCTCACCTCTACTTTCATTCCTGCCTGGAAGCTGATGCCATCAGGGATGGTGGTTTGGAAGTCAGCAATGGTGTAATATTCCTCTTCCACTTGAGGAGGGACAGGAGGTTTGGGCAAGTTCAAACCACGTGGCTATGACAAGAAAAAAGAAAACCCATCAGGATGTTTCTACAGAAAGTGTGACACAACATCAACACAGACCACCCACCTGCAGACACAAGCCAGCATGGCCAGGCCAGGGAGATCAGACATGCCCGTGCAGCACCCTCACCAGCACAATCCATCAAACCATTCCCAGGCTGAGCAGAAAACTGCTCAGTGCCAGAACTCTTGCTGACAGCAGAGCCACCCTCTGCAGAGGGAGGGAGCCAGTCTGCAGCCTTGTGGGGCAGACTGGCCAGAAGTTAATTTAAAACCACATGCAAAGAGAAGGGTCTTGAGACAGCAGGGAGGTACTATGCATACTCCAGCCTTGACCAAGAGCAGAGCCCACGATACAGGGGCATGATCCCAAGCAAAGAATAACCAGTGACCAGAGCTCCTTTCAGTGCCCCTCTGTGATTCCCTTTGCTATTGCTGCTGTCCTGTATCAGCTGGCACTTACTATGGTGAGATCTCGGCGAGGAGGGGGTCTCTGCCTCATCTTTGGTGACTCTGCAGGGAAGAATTTCAGTTGCTGTTGAGTTTCTGGCTTTTGGTCACATGTGTGTTCAGAAAAGACAAGTGAAAAAGAAAACAGAAAGGCAAGGACCAAGCCTGCCCCATGGCCAAAGAAGCTAAAGGAGGAACCAGTCTACCCAGTACCCTGAGTGGCATGGGTCACCCAGGTTTTAAGGGTATCTGGAAGATGAACCAGCTTTGCACCATCAGGTGCTGCTGCAAAACGCAGCTGAGGTCACCAGCTGCATTTTCACCACGTGAAATTCATTTTTCATTGCAGGCCTGACCCAGAAAACCTGGTCTGGAGAGGTGTTAAAATGCCCCAGCTTCTGAGAGGAGAACATCTCCAGTCTGGGAGGGAGAAGCATTTATCCTCAACGCATTTGCTGATTCTCAGCAGGTCCCTGGGCCTGTGCTCCACCTGCGGCTGCAATGTCACCTCCAGCCCTTGCTGCAGAGCTCACAGCACTCGCAAGCCTCCTGCCTCCTGCACCCCCATACATTGCCCAAAAGCTGGCAGGAAAGGCTGTGCAGAGGAGAACATCTCCAGTCTGGGAGGGAGAAGCATTTATCCTCAACGCATTTGCTGATTCTCAGCAGGTCCCTGGGCCTGTGCTCCACCTGCGGCTGCAATGTCACCTCCAGCCCTTGCTGCAGAGCTCACAGCACTCGCAAGCCTCCTGCCTCCTGCACCCCCATACATTGCCCAAAAGCTGGCAGGAAAGGCTGTGCTGACACCCCAGCCACACTGGCCTCCT